TTAACCGTTTAGGTTTTACAGCCCGTCAAAGTTGCAAAAAGTCAATTTTCAACTGTCAATATTTCCAAAACAGTTGAACTAAACGTAATCAATCATCAACCTAACCTCACTTTGAATGTTTGTTTACTTTTTTCTCAAATTAAAAATTTTCCTTTTTTAATGTTATTTTAGTTGAAAAATTACAACGAGTGATTATTGTGGTCCCTTCAGTCGGTCGTAAACTGAGTGTTGTGTAAAATTGCCATTATTTTTTTGTTTTTATTGAAGAATCACAAGATAACCACAAAATGGCTGGTTCATGTAACGAATGCTCCATAAAGTGCATTTTTAAGGAACCTAAGACCACTGGAGAAGTTTTTGGCTACCCATGTGATTTTTGCAAAAAGGTATTATGCAGGGGTTGTAGTGGTATTAGTTCTACTGAGATACGATATCTAATCTTGGCCACTCGCATTGTTCCATACCTGTGCAAGGATTGTATACCCGGAATTAGAAAAGCATTGAGCCTTGACAGCAGAGTCCAGGCACTAGAAGATACTTTAAGTGAAGTTCAAATTGCTAACACTCAGAAAATAGATGAGTTCGATATCCAGATTAAGGCGATAACTGAGGAAGTCAAGAGTTTGAAAACTAGCTTTTTGGCCTCCCTAGAAGATATTAAAAATGACCTTACCATTATAAAAACCACTACATCTACTTCAACTAAGGAGAAAGACAGCGGAAACAGTGCATTGGTGCACGGTAATGTAATGCACGAGGTCTCTGAGAGACAAAGAAGATCTTGTAACCTGATGGCATTCAATTTGCCTCAAATCAATGAGGCTGAAGATATCTCTAAGACAAAGGATATGCTTCAAGGCCTCACAGGCTCTACTTTAAATATCGTTAGCTCAACTAGAATTGGAAAGCGTAATAAAAATGGACATCAAGCACTTCGTCTAACTTTAGAGTCTCCCGAAGTAGTCCGTTCGATATTAAGAAACAAGCGGAAACTGGACAGAAGCTTGAAAATATTTCTTGAGGCTGATTTGACCACAGAGCAACGAGCAGAGGTGAATGTTTTGAGGGATGAACTCAAGGAGAGACAACGAAATGGCGAAGATGATCTCATTCTGAAATATGTAAATGGAGTACCTAAATTGATAACAAAAAACTAAAAAGGCTTGCCAAAGTAAGACCGGAAAGCACCTCTTTGCTAATATATTTCCAAAATGTCAGAGGCTTACGTACAAAACTTCAACTTCTTTATGAAAATACCTCTTATTGTCAATATGATGTTTTAGTCTTTAATGAAACCTGGTTAACTGGCGATATTAATGATGCTGAACTACAAATGTTTGATTACAACATATATCGAAAGGACAGATCATCAGATACAAGTACTTTTTCTAGAGGAGGTGGGGTACTAATAGCTGTCCGTAAAACCATAACCAGCACAGTTTTATCAGCTACCATAAATATTGAGCAATTGTTTGTTAAAGTCCAGAGTGGTAACAACAATTTTATCTTTGCAACAGCCTATTTCCCACCCCGAAGTACACCTGAAAAGTATGTGGAGTTTAGTGAGAGTGTTGAGAATCTATCCGAAAAGTATCCAGAACACAAACTGTGTATCCTGGGAGATTTTAATCTTCCAAACTGTCAGTGGCATAATGATGGATTATCTTCAGTTGCTGCTCCTATGGCGGCAGTTCCACCTAACGAAGTTGAATCCGTACAAGTTCTTTCATTTTTATGTTCATACCATAACCTATATCAACTTAACTCAGTTAGAAATGTTAACAACAATTTACTTGATCTGGTTTTTATGCAGGATGGTGACACTGAGATATTTATAGCAGAAAATGCCTTACTTCCAGAAGATATTCATCATCCACCACTGTCGTTTGAGGTCGAATATGAATCAAATTGTTTCAACAACTCTGGATTGACTGGAGATGGCTATTATAGGGATTTTAAGTCGATGAATGTTCAAGAAGTATCAAGTTTCCTTTCCCTGTTTAACTGGGATGATTTATTCAAGAACAAATCTCTTGAGGATATGGTTAATATTTTTTACGACATTGTCTACCTAACTATTGATATTTTTGTTCCTTTGAGAAAGTATTCAGCAAAGAAGTTTCCTATTTGGTTTTCTCCAGAACTAAAACAAACGATAATTGAAAAAAAAAAATTGCATAAAAAATATCGTAAAAGTAGATCACTAGATGACTATAATCAGTTTTCTTTGTTACGGGCTCACTGCAAACACCTAAAAAAAGAATGTTATCGAAGTTATGTTGCTTTAACTGAATCGTCTCTTAGAGATAATGTAAAGAATTTCTGGAAATTTGTTAACAGCAGAAAAGCCAAAAATAATATACCTTCTGTAATGCGGTATGATGGTGTTACTAGTTCATCTGGAGTTGGGATTGTCAATTTGTTTGCTGAATACTTTTCAAAAACTTATAGTGATAAAGACTGTGTATTGCAGGACATTCTGCCTTCTGGGCACATCAATCTGTCGGAATATAACATACCCATCTCATCTATCTATGAAAAACTATCCAAATTGGATATTAACAAGGGACCAGGACCTGATGGCCTCCCACCATCACTTATCAAGCACTGTAGCTTCTTGTTCTCTAGACCTCTTTTCCATATCTTTAACCTCTCTTTAAAGACCGGGACATTCCCAGCCTATTGGAAAACAAGCTTTATTACTCCCATATTGAAGTCTGGAGATAGTTCACAGGTTAATAACTATCGGCCCATCAGTATATTAAGTTGTATCCCTAAAGTGTTTGAGAGTCTAGTTTGTGATTATTTGTCTGCTAGTTTAAAAGGCTGTTTCATCGATCAACAGTTTGGATTCATTTCTCATCGCTCCACAGAACTTAATCTTTTAACATTTACTGACTATCTCTTGGAATCCTTGGAGGGGGGTTATCAAGTTCATGCTGTGTACACTGATTTTGCAAAGGCGTTTGATCGGGTTAACCATAGAGTTTTGATTAATAAGTTGCAGAGTCTGGGAATTCAGGGTGTCCTTCTGGAATGGCTTTCATCTTACCTTAATGAAAGAACACAGATGGTACGTATTCAGGGATTCCAATCAATAGAAATTAAAGTACCATCGGGCGTACCCCAGGGTTCACACCTGGGCCCTCTTCTTTTTAATTTATATGTGAATGATATTGCATCCTCTTTTCTCTTTTCCTTCTTCCTAATGTTTGCAGATGACTTAAAACTATACACAAAAATCAAGAATAATGCTGATTGCCTAGAACTGCAAGCCGACTTAGATCGTCTCAGCAACTGGTGTGAAATTAATGGTATGGAACTTAATGTTCAGAAGTGCCATCTGATGGTCTTCAGTCGTAGCAGGAATCCCACAGAACAAGTCTACACTATAAATGGTTGCCCTCTGGAATCTGTATGTCAAATCAAAGATCTAGGTGTAGTCCTTGATTCCAACTTATCTTACATATCCCATATTTCAATGGCAGTATCAAAGTCACTTCAAATCTTGGGTTTTATTAAAAGGTGCGCTAAAGATTTTCTTAATATAGCATCCATCAAAATATTATTCTGTTCTCTTGTGAGGCCTCATCTAGATTACTGTTCTTGTGTATGGTCTCCCCACTACAACGTCCATATCCAGGCTATTGAGAGAGTCCAACATAAATTCTTGAGATTTATTTCATTTAAGGAACGCCATGAAGTTGAAGATATTAATTACTCAAGGGTTGAAAGTTCCCTTAATATCACTACTCTTCAAATCAGACGCATGCACAAGGATCTTACCATATTTTATAATCTACTGCACTCATACAGCTTTGGTCCAGAGCTACTGGCAAAAGTCAATATCCATGTCCCTTCTAGACAAACAAGGCTAAATCAGCCGTTCCAAATTGGACACCATCGTACTAACTACGGATATAATTCTTTTCTATCAAGATCGGCTAGATTTGCTAATCAGTATTCTAACAGGTTGGACTGTTTTGATAATCAAAAAGTTTTTAAATCCCAGCTTAAGTCCTGTACTCTGTGATATTTTAATGTCCCAAAGAATGGTTATGATTAGGGAAGAGAAAGAAAAAAAAAAAAGGAAAAAAAAAAAAAAAAAAAAAAAAAAAAAAAAAAAAAAAGAAAAAAAAAAAAAAAAAAAAAAAAGTTTTAAGTTTTTTTTTTTTTTTTTTTTTTTTTTTTTTAAAGTATTTTGTGGTTTTTACCCGAGTATTTACCTTATGTTTTATGTTAATTTATTGATATATATTTTTTAATATGTTACTGTTTATTGTTTTCTTATGTTTTGATATTCTAGGTGATAGGTTAGGTTAAGATTCTCACTTGTTAATTATACTTGTCTTTTAATTGGGCAATAATTGCTCGTTGATAAATAAATAAATAAATAAATAAATAAACTTAGGTATAGGGTATATAACATGAAATCTGCTCAGAATTTTACGTAGAATCCAAATATGCAATCGCATACAGGGCGTTCCATTTAAAATAGCGATGTTGCCACTAGTTTAGAGTAGAAGCGGCAACACCGCATAAACAAAAATATTTTTAAAGTGTAGACTATGGTCGTTTATCCCGGTTGCCAAATTTTCAAAATGATCCGATTTTTAGTTCTCCATAAACGTCTAATACGCCATCCACCGTGGGACACCCTGTAGATGTGATTATCAAACCATTGACTAAAATTGGATTTCAAATCTTGTGTTCATAAATCGAACTAATGAAACAAAAAAATAAAACATTTTACAGAGGAAAAGTATTGAAGATGAATATTTAGAGAAATGATATTTTTGTGGACTATTTGGAGTGTCATACCATACCAAAAGAAAAGGTATTTGTTCATTTCAAAAAGTTGATCTGGTTATTACCACAAAGAAAGATTTTTGTTTTTAGGTGTGACTGTTTTCTAATAAATATAACTGAAGTATATCACTATTTTGCCAACTTTCGGAGTCTCAAAAAGTAAAAATTATAAGAATAATGATCATTTTTACCTCTTCATCTTGTGTCCTAGCTATCTCGATCATACTTTTAGCTGCCGGATGTTGCACAGTGATTTCTCTCAAAATCGCATTGCCGTCGTTGGTCATGACGATACCCCCCATGGGGTCCATCAGCATTTTTAGCATAGCTTGGGGTCCCAGGCATGTTCGGATTACATCGGCGATTTGCTGCAAGAATTTGACCAAATAAAGAAGTATTTTTAGGTTAACTTATTTTTATTTGTTAATTATTCAAAAATGCATGATAAAAGTAATTTGAATGGGTTTTAATTGAATATTCGCCCTAAATTAAATAATAAACCACGTGAAAAACCCACCTTTCCTGCATTGATATTCTCCAACTGCACCTTTCGGCCGGATTCACGTTTAGTGTTTTGACCTGAAACACGGCAAATGCATAAAATATTGTGGCAAAAACTAGAAATAACAAGTTTACTCACTTAAAACTAAAATCGGTGCACGTCCGCCGCCAAACATTTTCAATTTTTAATTAATAAAATTTATAAAAAGGAATCAAGAACGAGGAGGTATTTCGAGAATGTTTTGATTTTGACATATATGAATGACAAATGAGAATATTGACAGTTCAATGGCTGGCCGTGTTTCGTTTACAAAGCATAATGAGCTTTTTTTTCAATGATCCACGAGCTACTCTGAAGCAGTTCGAGAGTAGTTAAAATGCAATCAGAGCATTTTTTGTTTAGTGTTCTTAGAGTAAAACGAGCGTTGAATTATACCCAAAACTTTTGGAGAAATTCTTTCTACGCTAAAAAACAGAAACCATTAGCCGAACAGTTACTACGGAGTATATGGGTTTGACTCCGTGCACTCCAAAAGCGCTTTGATCGTTCGGATATGAGTTTTTAACATAGAATAACTACGTTCATAAACTTGAGTAGTTCCGCAACTTTATGCAACAATAGTCGTATTCGTTTCGCACCTAGGAAAAGCTCCGGGGCGTTACGCGATTACTCCTTTCGAAAAGTGCTGGTATAAACGTTGTACCCCGCATCTCGCGGTTTAAAATCGGGGTCGACTAACACCGGAGCGAGTAGCTCGAGTGTTCCAAATTCATGAAATGAATACAACTTTTCGAAGTGTACACTAGGGGAGCAGCGTTCAGAACAAGGCTGCGTTCAAAAACGGCTAAAGCCAAGCCAAAATTGGCATATTGCGTTCAAATTCGGCTCCAGCGTGCCAAAAACGGTTGACTTTACACGTTCAGAATCGGCCGCGGTAAAGTAACTTTTGGAGGTGCTTTTAACTGAGTCTAGAAATGGTTATACGAATTTTGATTGGATGAGACCAAATTCAATATGGCGTGGCGGCCAGCAAGTTAGTTTCGAATATGTGCTTTCATGCATATTTCAATTATTTTGCTTCAAGTTTTGCTTGCAGCTTTGATTTTGATTATTCAATAAAATATTTGTAGGTACGTAAACTATTGAGTTGGGCAGAAACTAGATATTTTTTTGTGCGTTTTCGTACATGTGTGGACGCCACGCCATCTTGAATGTCACGTGGTTTGGATTGCCTAATTGAGAAACGGTATTTAGCGTTCCAGCAAATTCACACCAGATTTGGCATTGCCGGTAGAAGGGAAAAAGTAGGTTTTGGCATTAGCATTGACGTCTTTGAACGCACTCCAAGTGTTCCGTCTTTTTCGATAAATATGCAAATGACAATATAAGTAACAAAGACAGAACACTCATTAGTTGTATTCCTTTCAAGAGTTCGAAACATTCGAGCTACTCGCTCCGGTGTTTAATAGCTCTCGATTTGCAGGGAACAGATGCGTGGTACGACCAATGAACTGAAATGCGCACACATTGTCATATCTGCCCAAAAAATGAAGCCATGAATGACAGATGCCACAAGGGGGAATGTTGTTTTTTTCTGTTGCTCGCTGACATATGGCGTTTTCGAAAGTTTTGTCATATTTCCCTTCACAGGTTTCATCAATTGGAATACGTGTTGGAAGCAATTTTCGCCATTTAACATAATGAGTGCGACAAAAACAGGTATCCCCTCCGCAGCAGCCGCACTAGGCTTCACGTTCGTCCATTCCAGTTTTTGGTTATAGTTCATTAGGTACGACAAACACTTTTCGAAAGGAATAAGCACGTGAAGCCCCGGAGCTGTTCCGGAGCTCCTCCTAGGTGTGAAAGGAATACAACTATTATTCTCCTGGGAACTCTGCTCCCTAGTTTCAAGAATAAGGACCCTGAGGTGCTTTCCAGTGACCCATTTCAGTTACTCCTGAGCAGCTCAGGAGTGCTCCACAATTACTTTGCACGTTCCAGTGCTTAGAGTGTCGTACACTTGAACTACTCATTTCTGTTATCCCCTGCCCCCTCGTGCACTAACCTTTATTACGATGTTCCATGCTCCTGAGCTTCTTCCATGACGTCACCCACGACCTATTTATCTCGTACAGTACAGGCGATGCTAGGCAACCTGACGTCATAAAAGTAGAATTATAGTAGAATTCTACTTGTCGTGATCCCAGCCCTGAAGTCGGAAATGGTGTGGGTTATGATGAGAGCGTTCCACTGATCTCAAAAATAAATAGATAAACAAAGAACGCTTCTAATGCTGCTAATTTACAAGTACTGTGCGTGCACAAAATCTGGCCAATGAAAATAAAGGAATTTCAAAATTTAGAACAGTTGTTCCAAAGATAAGACAATGCGCAGGCGTTAGGCTGTTCCGTTGCACAGCTGTTCGTAGAATATTGACCCCAAATTTTCGCACAAATTTTGCCAATCAAGCCGTATGATTGTTTATCCATTTATTTTTTAGATCAGTGGAGCGTTCCAGTGCTGCTTATGTCGAACAGTTCAAGAGCGTCACACTCCAGGAGCATGATACTCTAACAGTTTAGGCACTGGAAAGCAGCTCAGAACATGTAACTCCAATAATTTATGCACTGGGGCCTTATTCTGTAAAAACAAACCGTTCGATTCGGTAGAATTTCTTCGATTGTGACGTCATTTTTGGTTTGATTTCGCGCTACCAAACCGAAAATGACGTCACAATCGAAGAAATTCTACTGAATCGTTCGTTTCTTACAGAATAAGGCTCCTGATAAGTGTATGAATTTGATTGAACGGGATTTGAGAAACGTCTTCGTTGAACTGTTCTGGTTCTGGAGATATTAAAAATTTTTGCAATCGACTCCAAAAGGCAATTGGAATAGTCAAATAGAAAGATAAGAATGAAAGGCCACCCTCACCCAACGTTAGGGATTTGACTGGGAGAAAATAAGCTTATACCACTCGATGTTTCAGGATTACCTAATACTTTTACCTGACACTCAACGCGTTACCAGGAACGCCACTCCTCCTTCGGAGTCGTGGTGTTGGTGTTGCTGTTGTAATGATCCGGCAAAATAGACCCGATATTTACAATGTCTTTACTGTAAAAAATTAAATGTAATCAAATAATCAAAAACTGATTTTCCGGTATTTCAAATCAGTATCGATAAACTGAAAATGAAACAAATTAGCGTCGACCCCAAATTAAATTAAAATATTTATATACGTTAAAAATTCTATTATTTAGTACCCAAGCGTGATGTCATCTCCTAAAATCAATGAACTTATTGAAAGCGAGGCCAGAGTAATTAAATCGATGATAAATAGCTCAAGTGTGCCGGTCTTCTTTGTGTTGTCCTCAGATTCTTGAACCAAAGATGTGTTGACCCCTATAAATCATGATATTGCGACATAATTATTCGATTCAAACAAATAAAAATGACAAAAAAAGTTCAAATAGATTGCATCATTATTTCTGATAATACCTAGGTCGGCCAATGGAATTGACTTATTGATGGTCAAACGACCGCCTATTGACGATTTTGGTGGATAATTAATAATATTTTGGGGAGGAATCGAAAAATATAAAACAGGCGGTTTTAGAAAGTGGAAGTTAGTTATCAGATCACTTCGTAGTTCAGTCCAATTTGATTTAAAGTCTACAGTACCTACCTAATATGTCAGTCCGGTTAAAAAAACATTTTTAAAGGCGTTCAATATCATGTGCGAGCTCTAGAAATTTTTGAGTAATTAATTAAGTATTTAATCAAGTGACAATTTAAATCTAAGTACTTTAGTGATTATTGATGTTTTTCTGACTTTAAACAATGATTCTGAATGATAAGAAGTGAATTGAGAATGACTTTTAATGCCTAAAAACTTGAGTGATTTTGACTAGTAAAACTTTTGACTTTATAAATGATGAATGACTATGAAGTGAATTAACTTTGGAACTTTATTGCATAAATATTAATAATTCGAGTGTTTTGACTATGGAACATAATTGCATAAATTTAATTGCCTTCGAGTATAATGACATTTTAATTAATTTGGCAAAGAATTAAAAGAGGAATTTATAATGAACTTAACAAGTATCGATTTTGAGTAGGAATTATTAAAGAATTTTGAATTGGATTGTCCAATTGAAGTTTAAGGGATGAACTAATAGGAATAAAATAAATAAGTAAATAATTGTATTTGTTGGCTAGGAATCAGGAAATAGAAATTGTTCTGATTACATAAACCATTAAATAAAATGGAAGTTTCGAAAAGAAACTTGTTGTTCTTCATGAAATGAAATTGCTGTCGGTAATTATTAGAAGTATTGCAAGGTTTATTTCAAAATTGTTGTCCTTGAAGAAACATTGGTAACCTTAAGTGCTGAAATTTTGAATTAGGGTTTTTATTATTATTATTATTTTTTTTTATTGTAAGGTTTTTATAAGAATAAGTTAGTAATACCTAATTACTTAATTCAGTGAGTCGGATTATGACTTATATAATCATTTTGAATAAAATATAATTTAGTAAACCTCAATAGTTTGTTTCTGTCTTTTGCGAATAGACCCCTCCACAATTTTATAGGTAGCAGCTCCAAGGAAATAAACACCATCAATATACCGCTCGCCAAGTACCACCTAATCAATTACATAGATACAAAAATTGTAGAATTTTTAAAGAACATAGGCTTTATCACATAGCTGATTCACTGTCCCCTCTTTAGGTAATGCTTCCCTCTCTTCTAAAGAGTTTAAAAATGTCAAACATGATTTTTGCGACCCAGTCACTAAGTTTCCGCGCCTTTTTATAAGTTATTACTTTTATAAAAAAAAAACATCAAACTCAAGAAAAAAATACCAGAGTCTTTTAATACACACACAGTGTAAATAGGCGCGAAAAGAATATGGCAACTTATTACCTATATTGAGAACACTCGGAGAATCAAATTTTACGATGGAATAAATAGGCAGTTTTCGCGTATTCCGAGTTTAAAATAAAATAAGCCCAAGAGGACCTCCGGCGACGTCGGTTCTGCAGCGGCCGAAAGTGAGTTGAAAATTATTTCATATCTCAGTTATACTCAACTCCAAAAATTTGAAATTAAAAGATTTGTCAGATCATAGCGCTTATTTTATCAAGAGTAAGTTTTCCTAAAATCTGGAAGAGTTTTCGAGATATCGCAGGTTTAACACAAAATGCCAGTAAAAATTATCACTTTTTTAGCGTTATGGAACGGAGATAATTCGACTTTTGTCTTAGGTTGGCCCATAAGCGCCAATGTTAATTTAAATTTTCAATAATTAATTAAAAATATAAATTGTAAAAGAAATTTAGTAATTTTTTTGCCAAGATGTACGGAATTTCGGGCTGAATTGCGGGATGCTCTTAGTTAAAAAACTTTGATTTGCGACCTTAAGGCTTGGACGATTTCGGGACGACTTGTAAACCAATAATCTACAAAATGTCCCTTATTCATTTCCAAGGTCAAACTCTGTTAGGCAAAAAGTGCCTACGGGAATAAAAACTAAGCTACTTTTACGCGCTGTGGCACTCTACTAAGAGCACTTGGGGCGTTTTGCTACACTGTGTAACGCGTTTCGTGACAGGTAAAAGTATTATCCGGTAATCCTGAAACCTTCGATAATTCTGGAATTCTATTAACTTTTATATTCATTATTTTATTTAAAAATTATATTTATAAAACAATAGTAAAAATGGAATAGGTACAAAAAAAAAATTATATCTAGGAGGTTTTTCTCTTAAACCTAAATAGAAAAAAATAGAAAAAACAACAAAACAAAATATATCATAGTAAAAATCATAATAATTGTTGAGTGTTCATTCTTCTAAAGTAACGTTTTCATTAAAATTATTTCAAGCATTATTATCTTAAGACTAAAATCATCAACTACACAGGGAATGTTTCTAATACAGCATTGTTATATCAAGAATCATTTATCAATTTGTTTTACCTAATCTAAAAACTATTTAAGATTAAGTAAAATAATTATTATAAATATTTACTTGTTAATCACTGCAATGGTCAATTATTGAATCTAGTTGGTAAAAATCTATAAAGCCCATAATCCAAGATAGTTTTAAGAACTGGATAGTACTTTGTAGAGTTTTCCATTTCTTGGAGTTTGCTAGTTTTAGAATTTGACTCACCTAAAAATATCATAATATGAATTTATTAAGCTTAATCCTACATATTTATATACCTACTTGGTTTTTCTACATTGTTTTCATCAACCTTTTTTTTAACACAAGAATTAATCTCTTGTATATTTACAACAGACTCTAATTCATCATTGAAACCTTTCAAGCTTTCTAAAATTTCTTCCAATACCGGTTCCTCTTCAATATTATCAATTCTTTTGAGCAAACATTCAATTTCATTCAAAACCTCTTTTTCAACCGTTTCAACGACTTCTTGTTTTCTATCAATTATTTCGTTTAGTAAATCTGGAATGTATTGTGTTTGCGGAGGTAAATCTTCAAAGCTTGTTTTATCTGTTTTTTTATTAAAATCATCATTATTAAATTCTTCTTCTAGCACAGTGTCCGAATCAACTGCTTCAGATTTTTCACAATAATAATTATAATATTCGTTATCGAACGCAATTTCATTTTCATTATCCAGTTCAATAGGAAAGTCTTGTTTTTCCTTATTTTCAATAATTTCATCAACTTCCTTATTAATTTTTTGCAAGTATTTAAAGCTAAAATCGTATGGTACTTGTTCAGAATAATATAATTTTTGCACTAATTTTTTAAGCTCCTCCAATACTTTGTGTTTGAGGTTTTCATTTTCTTTAGGTTCAGTTGTTGAAATGGAAAGGTTTTCACTTTTTTCTTCAGGTTTATTGCTATTACCATAAAAGGTTGTACTTAAAAGTGTTACAAAATCTGTATATGATATCGTCAGTGAATCTGAAATATGTATATATTGGTTTACAAGTTGGTCTTTTATTAAAAAAAAAAATATTACCTGATTTTGGGTTGTTTTTCTGCTCGTTTTCTAAATGTAAAGGGCTTTTATTGTGTAATTCTTCTGTTATATTGGAATTGTTGCATTTTTGGGAAAAGATGTCAGTCCTGGAAATTCAAAAATAGTTAAAATCCCTCGAAAAAAAATACATATTGCATTTATTTACTCGGAATGATATTTATTGGTATAATGTTGACCATAACTACTGGTTTCATCAGGATCTTTGCAATGGAAAGGTTCAGTTTCAGACTCACTAGTTACCTTAAACAAAAATTATAAATGAATAGAAATAATCATTGTTTAGTTTTTTTATAATCTTAGACTTCCACAGATTTATCCAAAGCATTTTTTATGTTCTAAGGGCCAAATTATGGACGAACTGGTAAGTGTCTGGTTGTTACCTAGAAGGTACTTTCTATTCTCTAGTGCATAGAAAGTACCTGCTAGGTAACAACCAGACGTTTACCAGTCAGTCCATAATTTGGCCCTAAATGAGAATCGATAAAAAACATTAAAAAGAAACAAACACTGTTGCCAGGTCAAAAAAATCAAATTCACCAGAAATTGGAATGAAAAATCACCAGATTTAAAAAAAAAATCACCAGAAACCTTGAAAGTTGATTTTTCAGGAAAATTCTCGCCTTACGGGCTTATATCAAACCAAGTAGGCTTTGGAAACATGTAGGTATGTATTGCAATGTCGGCATTACAGGGCGCCATATTTAAATTTTAAAATTTTGCATTGCCTACTTTGTCCCTTGTCAAACAGTGTTGCCAACTACAACTTATAACAAATATTGTGTCAATCATTGAGGCTCGAATTTATACAAAAAAAAGCCCAAGAAGGCCTTGCAAATTTCAAATTTTCCATAAAGGCCGTTTTACAGCTTGCAATTCTTTCTGCAATATGCAAGAAACTTGAACGACGGCATGCGCAGAAGTGATTGGTTTCTGCAAGATTCTTGAAACTTGAATGGCATTGCATGCAATCGGTTTGGTGCCATTTTTCTTGAAGGTTTTCGTGCAAGCTGGGGAATTTTTAGCAATTATGATGCTTAAAGTTGCTGCTATTGCTTTCTTCTCTTCATATCGACTTATAATAACTTTTTTTATTTTTGTAAAATGCAAATATCAACAACAACATTAGAAACAAAAAAGTATGGTTAAGGTTAGAGAAAGAAACAAGTCAAATTGCAAGGTGTAAAACGACGTGCAAGAAATCTTGAATGCAATTTTTTTGCATGCAAAAAATGGCATTCAAGTTTTCTTGCAAGCTGTAAAACGGCCTTAACAGTAATTATATAAACATCGGCAACACTATTGGGCAAAATGTCAAATATCATTTATGACAAGCAATAAGATTACTACTTATCAAAAACTTAGTGAGCCTTGAAGCAATATTTGGGTTTGATAGTTTGACTATTAGATGACATTGTGGCCCATAGACAAAATGTCGGATTAGTCGGATTCGAAATTCAATCATTATTGAATGCCATATGGTACAGGAGAAAATGTGGCTCATCGTTGCCACATTTTGCACAATATCTTAAGAACCTTAACAATTGGATGTTGTTTTGAGAATCAAATGATTGCTTAGAGGAAATCAGGTAATCAATTGAGGGATATAGGAATTCCAAAAAAAATGGAAATCACCTGGTAAAATATTTAACAATCATAAATTACTAGTTGTAATTCTTGGGAATACATGGGATTTATTGATCAGTGATTGTAGTAAAATTCAATTTTGAGACTTAATTGATCAAAAAGTATTTGAGCTACCAAGTTCAATTTAGCACAGATTTATAGAAAATTTAATGCTCTTTTCAATGAATTACGATATGTTTTAGTTTGCTCCAATTTGAATGAAGATATGGGCAATTGTTCATGAACATATCAGGATTTTTTTTTTTAAATTTAAATCCAAAAAATATTTCTTAAAATTGTCATTTTGAAATGATGTTAGATTTTTTTTCGACTAATTTAGACCCGCTCTATCGATTGGAAAAGTTAAAATTACGAAAATCTGAAAAATGAAAATTGTGAGTTTTTAAATTTTTTGCAAAGGATTTGGATTTTTATTTCAAAATTTTACAAAACTTACGGAAAATGTGTTTATGTCAAATCGTCTGATTTTTTGATAGTGTGTCAAGCTCGATATCCTGAATAAAAGTTATCATTGCGCAAAAGCCCAATAATGAACAGTTTTTGAAATAAACGCCCTTCTGTACTCTCACAAATATAGGTAAATCTTATAGACAATGACATCAAAAAATTAATTACCTACAGGGGAAAAATGCGGTGATAAATGGAATCAAAACACTGTTGCTTTGGGTCTTCTAGGAGAATGCTTTGGACTAGCAAAAAAACACTATTTCATTGGTAGTACAATTTTTGTTTATATGAGTATCTTCAATAATCAAAATGGAAAAATGGAGCTGACTTACTTTGTTTTTGAGTATTATTACTATGGCTGATGTCGATTTCCAACATCCATAACTGTTTCTAGTAGGATTGTTGGGGGATAGTGCACATTGGGTTGATGTCGCGCATAACCCAAATACCATAACAAGCTTGCAATATGGCTACAACAACCCAATGTCCTTGCACCAGATTTGCAAGTGCAGTAATGTCCCAAAATTGCTTCTTCCACTTGTTCAGGATGTTGCTGTAGTTCCTGAACGGTTCTATAAGTAATCCATATTTGGTACTTAGTAGCATTTCTGAAGCGGGAATAAATTCGGGCCCGAATAAATCCCGGTTCTGGGTCGAGTTGATCTACCTGCAATTCATCATCGCCATCTCGTCGCAATTTTTCCTGTATATACGACGGCGCTAGGGTTACTTGGTACACACCAAATGTGAAATCTTTTAAATACTCGATATTCAATTGCGGAAAGTCCACCAATTGTCCGTCATTCAGCCGTTCCCAAGCAGCATTTCTCACTTGCAGACCAAATTGCTCAACTCGAGCTTTAACCACATTAACCTCACCGGCTTTTTCCAACATGGATTGAGCCAGCTCAGCATTGCAGCCATTCATTTCTATAAGGCGATGGTACCTATCAATTATAGCTCCCGCAATCCGTTAAAAATCTCCTAAATGTGGTATATGCTGAAGGCTTATTGTCTGGCTGAAAAACTTGAACACGCTTTTAATGTGTCCATTTCGCGCTTCTACAATCCAGCGGGTTTTGGTAACCAACCGGGATTCATTTGCATCCTCAGTAGACAACTGGCGTTGTCCACGTTCCACACCACGAGGCATACGATATTGGATGCCAAGCGCCTGTAATAGTGGGATTGAATCCCTATACCCTCTATCAAGCACAATAATGTCGCCGTTCTGGAACCATTCCCTCATGTTTTCGGCATCACGTTCAAACTCATTTCGTAGGACAGCCGCATCATTATTTCGCGAGTCGGCAAAATAGGGACCTTGTATTGCCAGAATATACCCGTCTGGTGCTACTATCAGTGTAGGTTTCACAAGATGACGACCTTTGTGAATCGAAAACGTTTGTCGCAGGGTCTGGAAGTTGGAGCTTTTGGGAACATAGGAATACGTGCCATCAATATATGCAATAACTCTCGGGGTGCCCGGATTCTCATTGTAAAGTATATTCGCAAAGGGAGGTACATGAGTTTCAATAAATGCGGCGTGTTCAATAGCTGTAAAACCAATATTTTGAGGTACAAATCTTTGTAATAGAGATTGCCTCACGGTTGCTATCGCGAGACTTGCAGTTTGACGGCTTCTGTAATTGAAAATAGCCTTAACGAAACTATCCGACAATCCCTGTCGCATTTTGCACAAAAAGGCCAGTAGATCTTTTTCTGGCAACATATCTATAACCATTCTCTATCGGTATAGGATCGCAAGGATCATATAAACTTCTAAACTGAACTTTCGTGATAGGGGCGATGCTTTCAAAGTCTGCATCAGAAAAATAATCTTCGCTCTCAATTTTGGGATGTTCATTAGCTGTATTTCTCAAGTGTTTCAAAAACTTTTGCAACTCTCGACCTGGAATTACGTAGGGCCTGTTTACAAATCTCAAACCTGGCAGAAGTCTTTGCGGAAGAAAACCGTTTCCGTTCAAATGGTGAGCACAACTTTTGACATATTCGGGAACATATATGTCCCTATTAAGGAAGATATTCACCCTGGCCTCGGTAGATAATCGGGGTTCATTTGGTGAGTTGCAAATGAGACACGAATGGCTTGAACTTTGCGTCAAAACATTGGACCGCAAACAAGCGGGATCTCGCTGAAGAGCATTTATTTCCCTAATAATGGATCTGTTGCAGCTGGACAAATTCTTGTGAGTTCATTGATTTCTATAATAGGCCTGATGTTTCCTAGACGCCTTTGTTGAGCTGTGGCACACTTATCGGCATTTTCATCTCCAACAAGACGCACCATTAATCTGGAAGGAAGTGCCGCAGGACATATGAAACAGTGCAATATATTCCTCATTGCCATGATCAAAAAGACTTTATGAATCGGAAGAAAAATGGATCAAACTATAAAACAATTTACGGTTGCGGAAGGTGTGGGGAAAACCTGAACTTTTTGGAATTCACCTATCTATTTTTATCTGTCAAACGCATCCTCCCTGGCAAATTTAAAGATTCAGTTTTTCTGGTTGTTTTCTCGTTCTAATACTTCTTCGCAATGTCTCAGCATTTTCTGGTATCTGATTGGGTTTGGTTTTTGATTGGTAAAAAGTTTCAATGTTTTGATCAGTACTTTCCACCGGAAAAGTCTCTTGGTCTCTCGGTTCTTGATCATCTAATATCATCTCCGCCGAAGTGGAAACTTCTGGAGTCGAATCGGAAATTATAATTGTGCTTTTACTTTGCTCAGGATCAATATAAGAAAAATGTTGAGTAGATGAAGCACCTACAACATTATCTCTTGTAGTATTTTCGGTGTCCAGAGTTTGCTTTGCCTCTGGAACATAACAAACGTTAGGCTGTGATACTGGACACTCAACTTTAGTTGAAGCAATATGGTTTATATGTCTTCTGATTATTCTGTCTTCCATTTCAATCAAATAAATAAGATTGCTCTCTCTCTCTCCAAAATTCTACCAAATTTCCATAGACAATTTTTCCTACTATCAAAATGTCTCACTCGAACGCTTTCGCCCACCATAAATTTAGAAGATGCTTGATTTGCCACCTCAATGGGTTTTTGAAATCTAACTAAATCTAATTTAGTTCGTATGTCTCTCCCATACATTAATTGAGAAGGTGAC